AGGGGATCAGAGAGGGAGGGAGGGAGGGATGAGAGAGAGAGAGAGAGAGAGAGAGAGAAAGAGAGTGCAAGCAGCAGTGCAAGGGAGCGGGAGTCGTGTCCTGGAGACGCGAGGGGCTTGCCTTTCTCTCTCTCTCAGGAGCGGGTCGTGCTACGCGGTGCTACGCGGTGCTACGCGCCTCCGCCGCGCGCGCCTGTCGTCCGTCATGTAGTACGAGGCCCTGCTGAGTCATGGGTCGCGGGCCCGCCGTGCCGTACAAGGCGCGCGCCCCAACGGTAGCAATGTCTCCATGCCGAGTGACGGACTGCGTCACGGCCTGCGCGACCACCGGGGCCCCGCCGCGCACGCGCACCCGCACCAGCCTCTGCTCCGCGGCGCCGGCCGGCGTCAATTTATTTCAGTCGTAAACTCCGCGGCTGCGCCGGACTGCGCTGCGCCGGGCTGCGCGGCCGTCCCTACCGGGCCGGAGGCTTCACTTGGAATAATGTCCCGGATCAGCTTTTGTATCTGAGTGTACGCAAGGGTAGGAGGGTGCTACACACTAAACCCTTCAGAGTTTTTGAGCAGTCATCATAAGATATGCACAATTTCATGGATAATTTGCATAGTATTTACAATTTGTATATAATTATGCATAAAAAATCGTGTGAACTTATGGCTGTAGTGTAATTTGTTTATGCGTCTTAATGAGCAACAAAACGCATAAGGGTTTATTGTGTTGGTTCGTTAGTCAAGCTTCTCGCCCGATTGAAAGAGTCAGCTATCGAACGACCTCCCTTTCTGGGGAGACATGACCATGATATGACTCTTGAGGTGTGATACGAGGTGTGATTGTGATGGAGTGATAAAGTATCTCGTGCCAGAATACGGAGCGATCGGAAATCAGAAGTGACTTTTCGTTTTTCAGTGAAAAGTACGATAAAGTGTGTGTAACATTGCCTTACCAATCATTATGCATACTTGTCGCACGCCTGTTAAGTCATCAATGTCACATCGGACTGGAATGGATGGCGTGGCACCCTTGCTTGGGGCTTGCAGACGGCGGACGCGGACGGTGGCGGCGCCAGGCCTCCAGGAGAAGTAAACCGAAAATATTGCAGTCTTTAGCTGCAGTCGCCACATAAGGCCTGCAGGACCGAGGCGAGCGGAGACGAGGGGTAGGGGGACGGGGCGACACCCGAGTGGTTTCAATAAGGACATAATGTAGTTTGTCTTCCTCCCTCCCCATCTCTCCCCCTCTCTCTTTCCTTCCGCCTATTTCGTCCGCTCGGGTCGGCCCTCCGCATCACTTTAGTCCTCTGCAGTACAGTCTCGCGCGCAAGCAGCACCCTCTCTCACACACTTGGGGGGGGGGGGGAGTAAGAGCGTCATGACGACAGCCGTTAGTTTGGCGAGCGCGCCGCGGCGGGCGCGGAGAGGGCGCTGCCGCTGCTGCAGACGGCCGAGTTCAAGGGCGGATGATCGCTGACGACGACGCTCTAACCCAACGTGTGTGTTTGTGTGTGCGCGTGCGTGGTGGTGGTGGTGGTGGTGGTGTGTGTGTGTGTGTGTGTACTGGCGGCGGTGGCGCGACCCGGCGGCCGCCCGGGGAAGCGAAGCAAGCAGCCCGTCCGCATATGCACATGCTGCTAGGCGTTGAGCAGGAGCGATAGCGGACCCCATAGGGTGCCGCAGGCCGGTGGGAACGACGATAGTTCGGCCACCTGGCTTTGCATATATACTGACGGGGTCCTTGGACTGGCTCCACGTGAGAACCACGTGTGAACGCGCCGCGCACGTATGCGCGCAGCAAACCCGCGAGCACGCGCGCGAGCAGCAACTGCCACCCATTCCCTTTCCCTGGCGAGGCCCGCGGCCCTCGCTCTGCCGGACCTCCCGCCGCCACCAACGCGCCGCGGTGGCAAACTGCGGCGTCTATAAAATCGCAACGCGCAACCACCATCACGTGCGGGCTAATAATGGTTATGGTATGGCGCATTCTGCCCCTCTCTCACTTACTCGCTCTGTCGCTCACTTACTTGTTGCTCATTTACTCTCTCTCTCTCTCTACGCCCGCATCTCTCTCTCCCTCGCTCTATGCCCCCCCCCTTTCTCTCTCTCTCTCTCTCGCTCCCTCTCGATCCCTCTCGCTCTCCCTCCCTCTCTCTCGTTCTGTTCTAATGCGACTTTCGTGCGTCGACTGCAACAACATCAAGTGCCCTGGTCTCCCGGCGATCATTCACCCCGCAGGGCCGTAATAAAGTGGCTC